TTCAGATCTATTCATCCCGATTAATAACAGCGGCTAATTCATTAATTTGATTTCTATTGGCATGCATGAATGCTTTAGCGGTCCATATCATGTCCGCCAATATTTCATCCTTCTTCTCGTCCATGGCTATTTCAATTGATAATTGCGGATTAAATCTATAATATGGTACGCCAATCATAGAACACCAGGTTCTAGCACGATCAACTACCCTTCCATCGCTAGCCGTGGCTTGATCTACAAGTAAAGATCCCAATGCTGTTATACCCATGGCCACTTTAGCCGTATCCCATAAACCCTCTGGTCTAAACACATCTATATCGGTTAATGGTTCAACCGGTATTAATCCTGTACCCAAGGATACAACCAATGACAATGGTATAACCTCGGATTCTCGTTTGACGGCCTTCAATGCCAAATTATATTCGTGTATCTCCGTTATGGCATCTAATGTCGGATTATTGGCAATAAGTCCACCATCGAGAAATCTACCGAAAGCACGAAAATATGATGGCGCTGCACCGGTAGCACGTGCCGCCTTCCATAATAATTGTTCAGCTGGTGATAATGTATCTTTGAAATCTGTATTCCTTGGTACGTCTAATAATTCACTAGGAGATTCATAATTACGAAAAAGATGTAAATCAACGGGTTTACGATCGGCCAATACACCTGTTATCATTAATTTAGGTCTTTCTATATCGGCCATTACCGTTTCCGGACCTAAACAATCTTTTAATATATTCTCTAAGCCCTCACTGTTGTAAGGTCTAAAACCAACGAAAGCATCCTCCTTAATACGAAAATATAAAGCTTGACATTCCTTCAATGATTTCCCTGATGCCAAACCAAGTGCTAAAATTCCACCGGTCGAAGTACCGGCAACCCAATCGAAACATTCTATTACAGGTTTCTTCAATATCGATTCAATTTCTAACAAGGTTTGTATCAATACCAATCCACGTATTCCACCACCGTCGAGACATAATAATCTTCCACCTTTCATCTTTCTTTTTCCAAATGACGCCATTACTTCCATACCGGATACATGTAACATTTGATCCAATGTAGTACGTGGCATAGATCTTGGTACTTCGTTCAATCTAATACCATTGTAATTCTCATCGTATTTACATCCTATATTACAATCCTTCATCTCGTATGGACAACGTTGTGCACCAACGGCATGTAAGATATAAAGTATCTTTTGACCATCGTTATTATTAAGATTAATCATGTGTCTTGGTGTTTCGGATTTCCAATTTCTTGCATTTATGTCAGCTCCAAATCCAACGAGAACTTGTACAATTGCTATTGTCCCTGATGACACGGCCAAATGTAATGGTGTATTACCATCCTGATCGACTTTGTTTACGGAAGCCATATGACTCAATAGAGCCACCACGCAATCCAAACGTTTTCTTATAACCATAACGTGTAAAGCTGTACGTCCTTGAAAATTTACAGCGTCTATGTCAACGTGATGTTCGATCAGAGCATTTACGACCGGTCTACTATGAGACCAATGTAACGGTGTACCACCAAATCTCATGTCTTCCGAATAAAGGACATTAGGTTTATTATGTAAGAAATCACCTACGTATCCTGGACTAGAGGGTTGTCCATCAGACGGTGGTATATTAACGTCTGCTCCAATTAATAAAAGTGCCTTTACGCATTCTGGTTCATCGTTCATACAAGCGATATGTAAAGGCGTATAACCATCATTATTTCTACTATTTAAACTATTAGATAAACCTTTAATCGTTAAAATAATATCTTTGGTTGATGTAGCAGCATAATGATAGACCGTGTTCCCTTGTTTATCGGTATGTTCCAATGAGCTATTAGCAGCTTTTAACATTTGTACAGTTCGCAAATTTTTTGTTTGTACTGCTACCTGCAACGGCGATACTCCTGTATCTAAATCGCTGCTATTCAATTGACTATTTACCACCGTATTTTTAAATGCCTCATAAAGTGCAAAATGAGCCGCCAAATGAGCCAAGGTCCATGTTGGATGTTCTACCAAAGTGTCGCATAATCTCTGTATCTTGCTCACGTTGCTCATCTTAAAAAAAAAAAAAAAAGAAAAAAGAGGGAGAGAAGAAAAAAAAATGAATAAGTAAATAACAATATGATTTGTAAAAAATTGTTTTAAATTGAATTAATATTGCTATTATTAGAAAGTAAGTTTTTTCTTTTTTTCCCATTTCATTTTACATTACATATCTTATGTGTTTTATAATATATATATATATATATATATATATATGATATATACCTCACGTGATATTTGAACTAAAACAGGAACTTTATCTTTGTATATCAGGAAATGTGTTTCACCTTCGGCTATATCATCTGTTCGATATAAGCTATAAAGATACAAGTATATAAAATTTATTATACATTTATTGTAAATAAATAAATAATAATAATTAATAATAATATATAATAATATACCTATAAGCTTGATCCAATGTTTCTGTACAGGGTCTATGAAGTATGATCTCATATTTATTCTCAATACCTTTATCACCAGGTCTGTATAGTACAATGCCATCCTCTCGACAAAGAATAAGCCGATTACTATATTGATCGGTTTTGACAGTTAAAACCATATTAGGTGGAGGAGCCGTAAACACAATATTTCGTAACACATTATTAGCGATCGTACCGAACCAAGTCATTATATTTCTTTTCTTTCTTTCTTTTTTTTCTCTCTCTCTCTCTCTCTCCCCAAACTTTTTGAGATTCGTTTAACTTTTATAACATTGATTGAACGTTTAATCATTAAATCGTTACGTAAGTTGATCTAAACATTGTAAAATAATGATGCAATACACGGTAAAGTACCAATTTATTAAATTGTCAATTAGTTCGACTAACCTCAAATGAGAAACGTCAACCGCAACGTTTTGTCACAGTTGATACATCGGTTTATACGGTGACACCAACATTTATCTTTGTTTTTGTAACGCGACATCGTACAAACCTTATAAAAATAAATTTCAAATAAATAAATGGAATATGTTTAACGTAACTTTGATCTTATTGGTCGATTGATATTTGTCCATGGATATAACAATAATAAGAGTGTCTAATTTTAGTTATCCCTTAAACAACGCCATCTACTTAGTTTGTTTACGATCAAAGATGACGCTGCTATCTTCAAGGCCATTAAAAAATAAGAAGAAGAAGAATCGAAAAGAAGTATTCGTCACTAGTTCGGTACAAGAATACATGCATACAAAAGCATTAGAAGTTTTCTTACATTTTTTCGTTGACGAAAGTGTCATCTAAATAAAGATGACAGGTTTTACAGAAAGTGCTCTTGTCAAGAGACTGATGGATTTAAATCCTTCTCAACAAAGCATCCAAACACTTTCACTTTGGTTAATACATCACAGAAAACATCACCCGACCATCGTAAAAGTCTGGTTCAGGGAGATGTGCAAAGGTATGTTACCGTTAGGCTTTTTTTTCTTTTTCTTTTTCCCCTATCTTCCTAATAACAAACATTGCCCATTTAATTGCAATACATACGTATAATACGTCGTCGAAATGAATTATAAATATTCATTGAAACGTGTTAAACGATTAATACTGCCGATCGATGATTTTTAGGTTAGAAGATAAAATTCCTGTTTCACGCACGTAATCATTAAGGAATTTTTTTAAACATTTTATTAACATAACTTCTTCTTCATTTTTTTTTCCTTTCTCGATTTTTCTTCCTTTATTTTTTTTCCTTTTCTTTCCTCTTCTTTTTCTTTCCTTCTCTTTTTTTTTTTTTTTTTTTTTTTTTTATATATATGTATATATAATATGTATGTATGATGTGTATATATATATATATATATATATATATATATTATATATATTATATATATTATATATATTATATATATATATATATATACACACACTCGTTTTTCATTAAATTATTAGATATAATTGATTTCATGTCAATATTTCAGATCACATTTTTATATGCCCATAATCGTTTTCTCTAATTATTGTCAAATAGAAATTGTATATAAGGAAAAAGAAGAAAAAGAAAAAAATAATAAAAATAAAATAAAACTTTGATCAAACATATTTTTTGTTTGGTATAATGTTTAAAAAAAAAATATTCTCATAATGCATTTACATTATCATTTAAGATTATTGCTTTTGTTTTGAAAATATAATAGTATGATTTAATTCTACAATATCAACGTTTTTATATTTATATATATAAAAATTATAAAAGAAGTTGGCTTTCTTAATAGTATTTCGCTTTTGAAGAATTCTCTTTGATATCCTAAAATATTCTTAAACTTATACATCTTTCCAGTGAAGGACAATCGTAAGTTAATGTTTATGTATTTGGCAAATGATGTTATCCAGAATAGTAAAAAGAAAGGTCCAGAATTTGGCAAAGAATTTGAAACAGTATTACCAAAAGCGTTTGAACATATGAAAGGATTTGATGAGAAAACAAGGGAAAGATTAAATAGGCTATTACAAATTTGGGAAGAGAGAGGTGTTTATGATAAAATTCAAATAGCGGAATTCAAAGCAGCTTTCTTGGACACTGTTAAAGACCCGGGCACTCCGCCGCCAAAAAAGAAACCAAAAATTGATATAGAAAAGGTAAAAAAATTAATAATAATATAATCCATTATATTAGAAATTATTTAAAATTATATATTAAATGGATAATTTGTTATATTTTGCAGAAGGAAAAAAAGGAGAGGAAGAAATCAGAGACTGAAGTCGAAGTAGATGGTACCAAAGAACTTCACGTGACGTTAAGTCCACGTACTCCGGCTGGTGATCCACCAGAAACAGAGGAACTAATCAAAGCTTTAATGGTTAATGTTAATTTTCAAAGAAATAATCGTGCGGAATATGTATCATCGCTAATAAACTATTATATTCATAGAAAAATACATGTTGAGTCCATAAGATACATTAAATGCATGCATTCATTTTCATATTCTCTTTAATGTGATATT